AAACCTTGGTAGTTGCCACAGTAAGCAGATCGATCCTACATGGGTTTAGAGAGGATAAAAATGCAGTAACGTCGTGTGCTTGAACTTTGCACAACTAACAATGGCGTGAATACGAGAGCTTAATCATAGACTTAACTACCCTCAAGGTAACGAACTCCATGCTCCTATTTTCTTGAACTCATAACTTGTGGTCAATCAAATTATATGTACGTTCACCGCCAAAGACTTGATCTAGTTAAGCATTGTTTCTTTAGCTTTATCTCTCTTACATAGGCTAAGAGGGAGGGAAGGCAGTGTTGTTAAGACTCTCAACAAATATACCAGAAATAATAATATTAGACTCCTAACAACTCTAACTAACAGATAAGATATAGGAATCGTAATCCTATCTGATATAACTACCTGGATGCCCATACATGTAAGCCCCGTTCCAAATTTTACTTTAAAGGAGGGGTTAATCACAATTTAATTACACCTCAAATTCTGAGAGTTTAACAGGTTGTAATCTGAACTCTTGGTAGTGAATGTGATCCAAACCTCTTAAGAATATGAATATCTCCTAATTTATTCCTAAGCAATTACTTTTTGACTGAGGTTGCCTCTATTTTATGTGTGTCATACGTATAGATACTATATATATATTATATAGCTTCGCAAGGACTAAATAGAATTTATTATGTTTTCTTTTGTAGATATTATGCCGATTAGAGGGTATTGAAAAGTTTTGAGATTTGATGGCTTTTTGCCTTAGTAACATTTATGTCGCTTTAAGCTAATAAGGAGGTTTACGGGAGATGGAAGGTTTTATGTTTCCCATTTTGATCAGTATTTAACTGTAAATGAAAATATTTTTAATCTTTTTATAGTATTAATATTTGATATATTTTTTTTTAAATAGGAAGAAGATTATATTAAACAACATGCCGGAGATTAGGCAAATTCCTCAAATGGAAATAGGAACACGATGCTCTAGCAAGTTCATGGCAACATGGGTTCTTGTCGTCTAACCCGAGCTATATTACATTTGTGCGGTAGCCTTGTTGTAAGAGAAGCATACGATATCAATGGATAGGTCTAAACTCCAGTAAAACAAGAGAGCAATAAAAACCCCAAATTTAATTAATAACAATTTAATAAGCATCGATATCATCGGATAATCAAACTGCAAATTGGTTTTATTCAATAACATTAATCAACATAGCCTATTCAAGACTTGTTTTTTCAAAACCATCATTAAAGGAACTCAAATTCTAAATAATACAAATTTTAATAGTTTTGATTAGTGCAACACAAATGAGAGATATTATAACTACCCCACATAATCAGCATAATCAGTAAAAAAAAAAAAATGAAAAATACGTAGCATACCAAAATCTTTCCCGATTAATATTTTTAATAATGTATAATATTAGTGTTTATACTTTAAGCTAAACATATCTAAATATATAATAATATATTTTAAAAATTTTTTCGCAACAGTGGCATCAACTGAATCTTTTTTTGTTTAAAATAAAGTTATATTATAATATATAGGCATATACTTTTTTCTTTTTTTATATCTCTCTTTATTAATAATTTCTTGTGTTCGAAAACTCGAAAATCAATTTTAAATTGTAATCAAAATAAGAATCAAAATTCTAACCAAATAAAATATAAAATTTTCAAAATATCCCAGTTATCATAATATAATATATATATAATTAAAAAAATAAATTTAGAAAGAAAAGACTTAAAAAATTTTGAAATAGCTTAAATATCTTAATAATGTATTATTTAAAAACTGATTTTAATAAATTAACATCCAATCAATTAATAAATTAGCATAATAAATACTATAGTTGGTTTACCTAACTAGGTTATTTTTTAATGAATAGTTTTCATAAGAAGTTCATTAGTGTGGAATATCGGAAATCCTATATTCCACTCCTCCCCTATTCCCAAGTTCAAATATATAGGGTTGTCCCATACCAAATATATGGATATAGAATTTATAATGATGTAATAAAGTAAAAATATATCAATGAAGTAATACCTGAATAATAACAACGTGCACATGCACTAGTACACACAAAATATAAACTGTTTACTATATAAATGTAGAAAATAAAAGAAAAATAATGAAATTTCCATAACATACTTAGTAAATTTAAATAACTAAAATAATTCTTAAATCATCGTTAATTATAAATTTTCACACTTAAAATGTAATATAATTAATATTTGATAAATATTTTATTGATTATTTTTTTTAAATAGTTAGATAATTAACCACTTTTCAAAATACTTAAAAGATTAACCCTTTTATTTTTACCTTTTAAGAAATAAAATATATGATGATAGCGAGGCACTTGAAATATTTATATTCCTATTTTTTAAGTTTTATTTTTTAAATATGGAGGAGAATTTTATTATCTGCATTGATTAAATGATTTTGTTTTAGGAGATATCAAGGAAAGAGGAAAAAAAATATTTTCTATTTTTAATATTATTTTTCTTCATAATTTATAATGATTTGATTGCGATATATTTTTTAAAATAAATTTTTAATAATGCATATATATAAATTAAAACCTTTCGAAAAGTTTAAGAAGTTAAGCAATAGTGACAAAGGTCTTTTTAATGTTTAATTTCTTTTATCCTTGTATTGAATATAGTAAGGGCCAAATGAACTAATCCCATTTTGAGAAAACTTATTATTTTTTATTTTAACTATTTGTAAAATTTCTTTTTTTTTTTTTTACCCATTGTCTAGATGCTTTTTTTTAAGATTTTTTAGTAAATATTATAGATTAGACAGAAATTTATATATCAAATTAAATTAATATTTATTTGCACTATTACAAATCAACGAATAAAAATCAACGGTACAAAGGTTGTTTTGGAATTTTTTATGTCAATTTACATAAGTTAATCTCTATGTATGTCCTGGGGGTTTGAGCATGTAGTATATGTGCACAATTTAATAGATCAAGAATTTGTAGTAAAGAATTGATTGGTGTCTTTTTTATTTCTTAACTATGTCAATAAATTTATTTATTTTACTTTTTTTCTTTGTGTTTTTTAACTCCTAAACGATTTTGTATTGGAAACAGGAATAAATAAAAATATAAGCTTCAGAAGCTTTTTTTTTTTTTTTTCAGATAATAAGAAATTATTAATTACATTATGTTTAATTTTTTGTAAGACAAAAATTTGTCAAAATTTTTTATATTTTACTTTTGGGTATAGGAATTTAGTGGTATTATTTATATTCAAAGAACTTTTCTAAATTTATTGTTTAATTTTAATCTTAGGGATTATTATTTTTACTTGGACTATTTAGCTTCAAATATTCAATATGAAAATACTTTTATGATGCTTTAAAATATTACAAAGAAATTGAGTAAAAAGTTATATATATAAATTATAATAACAAATAAGAGTATAAATAGCACGTTCTCTTTCTCAAAAAATAAATAAATAAATAGAACAAGTATAAATAGCATGTACACAGGTTTGAAAAGTAATTTAAGAAAAAAACAATTTAAAGATGAATAACTTAATAATAAAAAAAGGGAAAGAAGATTTAGTTTTTAGAATTTTTAAATTATTAATGAGAGAAAGCATGAATGCTTTAATAAGATGAGAGCTAATGATCATTTAGAACAAAAAAATCATTTTGAAAAAAAAAAAAAAAAGTATTTAAGATTTATTAATAAATGACATTTTTTTTAGTCTAACAGAAATTATATATATATATTTAATATTTTTAGTCAAAATAGCCATTGTATAGCATTATACTTTCTGATTTTTAAGAACATAAATAATTTATAATATTAGAATGTAGATAAAAAATTAATGGAAAATATTTATAAGACAAATAAATCACAAATATTAAAAAAAACGAGTATAAATAACTGAGTAACACATTTTAAGAAGAAAAAAAACTAGTATGATGATTTAACCAAATAACAAAAAATGAAATTTTTAGGATATTTTTTAAAGAAAACATTTTTCCTTAAAAATTGTTTTCTGAGGATAAAATATTTTCCATTAACAAATAGAGCCTATAATACATAATATTCCCACACAATAGTACTAGTATTATTATGATAAAGAGCTTGTTTTCTTCATATTGGGATAAATCTTTGGGTAATGTCCTTAAATTCAATGTGGATGGCTTCGCAAAGGAAAGCTTGGAGACCCTGGTACACGAGGAGTTTTGAGGAATTCTTCGGGCTATGTGATCTGTATATTTTTTAGTTGTGCAACTCCTTTTTTTTTTTTTTTTTTTTTTTTTTTTTTTTTTTTTTTTTTAATCACTAACACAGTGAAAATGTACTATATGGGCTTACTTGTTTTTTTTTTTTTTTTTTTTTTTTTTTTTTTTTTTTTATCACTAAACACAGTGAAAATGTACTATATGGGCTTACTTGAGTTTGGTCAATTAGTACTAACCAATTAGCTAACTTGCTTACTACCCTTATATGTCCTTTATAGGTTTACTATTTAGTCGATGTGGATTTCTAAATACTAATAACTATTTCAACAACTGACAGTTATTAGAATCACTAAAATTACCGAATAGGACCTTAAAGCTATAAAGCTCTTTTCTTCGTCAGAGGTGGTGGGAACACTTCAACAAGCTAGATTCTTTCAATTCTTGAAAGATTCAAGTTAGCTTCAAATAAGCTAGATTCTCTGAATTCTTTCTATGGTTCAAGTTAGCTTCAGTCACATAAAAAGAGAGAAAAACACTTTTGCAGATTGCTTGGCACAAAAAGGGTTGAGGCATTAAATCCTCTTCTAGCTTGGTTATAGATTCTCTTTGGTCGTAATTGTGATTATGTTCTGTTTTTAATTTCCACAGCTCGCCAGGAGTGATAACAGATCTTCTAATGAAATTTTATTCATGTATCATGAGATTATGCTAAGTTTTTTCACCTAACATTTCCATGCTAGGACTTGGGTGTTCGGTGTAAGCTTAACGGCTTGGATTAGATTAATTAGACCTGTTATGCTTTTCCAATCTATTTTAATAATAAAATTAATTATTTTGCTGATAAAAAAGAAAGGTATTATTCATACTATATAATTTATTCTTATATAGCAATGACTTTTTCTACCCTGGCGATAACAATATAAGTTCTCTTTATTTTACAAAGATGAATTGATATTTTAACTAGTAATATAAATTCCAAGCAATCTCAACGACACACTCCCCTGCATTCCGATGTTAATGCTTTGATCTCTTGGGTTTTGGTTCAATTTCTTCCTTTTCTTCAGAGGCAAAAGTTTCCTTCGTTATGGCTTCATCATCAAATAATAGATCAACCCCACATTTTTTCACCCTCCAGTTGCAATGCCTTGCAAGTTCAGAATAACCCTCAATGCAGAATTCAAAGCGAGCCTCACTCCCAGAATATTTCTTCAACAGATCGACAAATGAACTACCTTCAAATAGTGTGCCAAAAGGATTAAACCACACAAACACATGATCTGATTTAACTAAATGGAGGTCACCATCGAAGCATTGCCTATCCCAAATGATTATTTCTTCTAAATCTTCATGTTCATAACTATTAGCTTTAGCATAGCATTTGCATCTAATCCAATACTCATTTGGAGACTCTAATGACCTTGGAGGCTCCTGATCCAATGCAAAGACTATGCAAAGAATAACACCCTTCAACTTATCCCAATTTGAGGGTAATTTTATTATTCCTGAAGATCCTATACTTTTGTAACGACACCATTGAGGAATTTCACTTCCTGGAAATAGAAATCTAGCTTCATCTCCATTTTCGCAAACCTGCAAACAGAAATTTAACCTTTTATTTAGTGTAAATAAAGTTTAATTTCAAAATCATTTATGATGTGTTTTGATTCTTGAATTTGATTTGAAATTTAGGATTTTAATGTGTAGAGCATAGTCGAAATGACACATATTTTAAAGTTTTTTGAATTATAAGTGTAAAATAAAAACATTTTCCTTTGTCATGGACATGAAAATATGAAATTCCAAAACAATTCCACAAAATCCATTTCGGATCACATTTGCCTAAACTAGGTCAATGGACCCATCCATGGATCAAACCTTTTAAAATAAAGAATTTTTTAAAATTGTTTCTATTTTATCTTTCTACAGACAATCCTCATTTCAATCAAAGAAATATTTTTCATTAGTTTGGTTTAAGTGCAGGTCCATAAACCAGATCTAGACAAGTATCGTTCATTTATATCTAACAAAGCCAAAGTAAAACAGATACAGATTTGATAGTTATAGTTTGCTCATACCTTTGCTGCCATAATCTGAATAGCAAATTGGGCATCAACTTTCCCTTCCAACTCTAAACAATTTGCCAAATGCATATTCTGGAAATTGCATTCGCTCTTGCTCGACAAGGTTTCTAATGATTTGCAATGGTTTGCCTTCAAATTTTTAAGAGACTGCGGAAACTGCGGTAGTACACGAAGACTGTCACAGCAACTTAAGTCAATCATATTCAATCGAGAAAGTTGATGCATTGTACTTGAAAGGCTTGCAATCTTTTTACAAGAATCCAAAATCAACCGTGTGAGGCGTCCTAAGTGCTCAATAGGTGATGGTAGCTCTTTAATAGACGTTTGCCTTAAAAAAAGATTAGAAAGAGAGTCCATAGGCTCCAAGATTTCTGGAAAACACTCAAAATTTGTGCATCCAGATAAGTCTAGAACTTTAAGAGATTTTAACATACAAATGCTATCAGGGAGTTTCAAGAGCTTCCTATTGTTTTTAATTATCAATCTGACAAGTCCTGTTAGAAATTGGATTGATGAGGGCACTTCTTCTATGGCAGAATCTGTTAAACATAAGTGTTTTATATTTCCCGAGATGTCTGGAAACTTGCAGAGATTCGAGCAGCCAGTGAGATCAAGTTCATTTTGAACAGTAGAATTTTGAAATGGAGGCAAGTCTGTTATGGCAGTATAACGCAAATCTAGTAAGGCTATATTTGAAGAAATTTCAGGGCATTTTTTGACATTTGAGCAACGAGTAAGATGAAATTCTTTAAGATAATTTGAATCAAGTTTGTCTGGAAGACTCATAAGCATAGCACAGTGTCTAAGATTAAGGTTTTCCAGCTTGTCAAGATACTGAATAGATGAAGGAAGTTCAGTTAATCTTTCACAACCTTCAAGATCAATAGTTTCAATATTTTTGGCATTGGACAGATTTGGAATCGTTGTAAGATATTTGCAGCCCCGGAGATCAAGTTCTTTTAAGTGCACAAGATACTGAAACAAAAGACAGGAACATAAATATATAGCATGTATAACTAATGAACAAATAAATTAAAGGTCTAATGGCAAAAGGGAAAAAAAAGAGAGGGAGAGAGAAGAAGAAGAAGAAGAAGAAGAAGAAGAAGAAGAAGAAGAAGCTGTCTTTGGCTTCTAATTTGCTTAATTCAACAACTGAATTCAACAATTGAAGAACTTCTTAACATGAAGAAGGCCTAATTTTATTTTTATCAAGGGCTATTTGGTTCAGTTATTTCTGCGGCAGATAGCTATAATTAATAGTAAGATCAAATCGATCCGATAACTAATAAAAGTTCCAATCAAGTAATTGATTCTATGAGCTGGTCATAGATTGATTTTATTCATACATTTTTATTCATATGTTGAAAATAAATTATTATTTTATTCATACATTTTTCATTAAATTATTGAATTAATTTGGTTGTTAATTTTTCTTAATGGTTGAATCTATTAAAAAATAAAATATGTAAATTCGATTTTAGTTGAAAAATACTCCCTGATTAGGCATTTTATATATTAAGAGTAACAGTCAATTACTACACTTTGACTAAGAGAATTGATAAGTCTTATTTTTATAGTATTTTTAACTTAGTTTTTATTAGGAATTTTAGTATTATCAATTACTTTGATTAATTTTTGTTTAGATTTATTTATGTTTTCTATTAATTCTTGATAAGCTTGATTTGAAGGAGTTTTAGTAAAAAAATAGCTAAAATTTGCATCAAAGAAGATTGGAGCTGAAAATTGGAGTTAAAAGCTCAACATGACCAAGTTAGTAAAGTACACGGTTTGACAGTGACATTTGTTGCAAAGAAAAGGTGAAATTTTAAAGTGGGCCGAATTTAATTATTTAGCCCGTGTAGATTTGAAGTCTGGGCGTGACTTGTGCATGAAGCTACACAGGAATAATAGAAGACTACTTTGTTTGAGATCCAGCCCTATTTGGTAAAAAAAAAAAAAATCCTAATTGGGAAGAAATACAACACAAAATCAGTTTTCTACTCAAATAATATTTCTTCCTAATTAAGCCAGTTAGTTTCCTACTCGAATTCAAAGGCACCCTACGAAGTTTATATAAAGACAGATCACTACAACAATTAGATCGTGATCGAATCTTGTATTTTAGATATTTGTTCTACTCTTTTCTTAGTTTTCTTTCTTTTAAGACTTCAAGCATTCAAGTTTGTGTAAAGAATCAACACTATTTGTTGACTAGTTTTTATCTCTAAACTCTTAACATTGTTTCTACTTTTCATTATTCATATTAATTATGGAATTATTTTCAAGTTTAATTGAATTCTATTTAATTACTATATCGAACTAAACTCTCATATTAAGAATTTAACGTAGCTTAATTTATATTCTAATTTATAATATTAGATTTGCTTTTCTTTATTCAAAGTATAATTTATTATTGAACCTAATGCTTCTAGATAGAGTTTCTCTCCTGGATTGATTTATTTCATTATTCACTATCGGAAGAAGGGTTTTTGATATGAAAAAGGTAATAAATTACATGAGAATAATAACTTGACGCGGAAGCTATATGATTTTACTCATGAGGGGTTTTCATAAGTTAACGAACTTAGGTTAAATAATAACTTGACGCGGAAGCTATATGATTTTACTCATGAGGGGTTTTCATAAGTTAACGAACTTAGGTTATGAATTCTTAAACAAACCATAAAACTTAATGATTCAATTCATGTTTGATTGCACTAGTGGGAGATAAGTAATTAGACGGGTTAAAATAGCTAACAATACATCGAGAGAGCTTGTTAGTGATTTGAGAGTTGTTTTCCCTACTTGAACAATTAAAATTGATTATCAAACTAATAATATAAATTGGATAAAATTAAATAAAGTTAAAATCCCTAGTAGCTTCTAATCCTTAATTTCTTTTCATCAAATTCAAATATTATTCCTTGAGTTTCTTTTCCATTGCTTTTATTTTATTTTTTTTTTTACATTATTTCGTTATTGTCATTTAAATAATACGTATTGTCATTTAAATAATAGTAGGTTAACACAATTTTAGTACTTGGTATACAATTCTCGTGGGAATGATACTCTACTCATTCTTTATTATTTGTTGCAATTTCGTACACTTGCGAAAAAGTCTGTCAAGAATGTTTAGTTAGGTTGTTCCACGTAGTTGATAACTCATTTGTAGCAAATGCCTAAGCCAAATGTGTTTGGTAAAGATTTTAATTAGAATTGGAAAAAATAACAAAAATTTCAATCGACTGTAGCTGCATTTTAGAGTTTTTTTTTTCTTTTTGTTTTTTTTTTCCTTATAAGTTATCAGGGATACAATTTAAATTGAAATTGGTCCGACGACTCTAACAATAGTAGACCTTCTCCTCCGCCCGCATCCCATAATCCCCCGACTAATAATATAGTGTTTTTATTAAAAAAATAATTTATTTTTACATATAAAAAAATGTAAGATCATGGAATAGTTAAAAAAAAGGGAAAGAGATCTAAAGATCTTTTTCGTAGAATTCCTTTGGATCGTTTATACCTTCTTCCAATGAATATTCTCTTTTTTTTATGGTGTGGTGGAAAGAGCTATGGTTTTGATAGAGAAACACGAGTGCTACAGCAACTTGCTACAGTAACTCAAAAGCATCGAGTGTTACAGTACCTAAAAAAAAGATAGATGATTGTTTTTGGAAACAAACAAAACCCAATAGTTTTTGGAAACTAATAAAACCCAAATGTGATTAACACTTACCACTTTCCTTGTTATTCCAAATCTCTGCCGTTTTCAAGTACAATCCTTTATATAGGGAAAATAAGAGATAGCATAAACTCCTTTGAATGTGGTTGTTGCAAAGACAAATTCAAAGGACACCTACTAGGTTGAAAACAACACATTAAAAGATACACCTAACTATTGAAAACAACTCATTCAAAGACTAATTCAAGGACACCTAACTAAGTTTTGAAAATAAACCTCATTCAAAGCACACAATTCAAAAGGACACCAACTAACTTTGAAAACCAACAACAAATGAGTTGAATTCACTGGTCAATGATCCACCCAAGTTGCCTTCCTTGATTGTTGTTCTTCAAAGATGCTGGTTTGAAGGAACGCCAAATGGCCCTAAAAGGAGCTGTAGCTTCAGATTGAACATGTTACTCCCATTAGCCGATCTTTCACTTGATTGTCCTTCATCAACTTCATATGTGATCTCCAAGACGCAAGGCCCATGTCTAGGACAGCTTGTAAGGCTATAGGCTAGATGGACTCCATCATTCTCCCCTTCTTTGAAAAGTTTCAACTTAGGTCAGAAGTTTGACATGGTGTCTTCATTATATTTGGGCTTCTCCTATGATTTGTAAAGGACTCCCTCTTCTTCTTTCGCCTTTTTGGGCATTAACGGTGTGAGCAAGATGGTAGTACCCCATGGAAAAAGGTGTAAGTATTGGCCTTCCTTGGTGCTGCACATTCCTATCATACAACCAACGGCCTCCAAGATAGCAGAGTGAACAAGTCTGTTTTGGGAATAACATGAACAGCTCACCTCATCATGTATTTGGTTTTGTTTTTGGTGTGAATGTTCAACCTTGTCTCACTTGCTTAGTGCCAATCTCTTCAATTCCATTAAGAGATGTCCATAAGGGTAGAAGCTTACAATGTTTGGATGTCGAATGCAAGCCTTGAGAAGAACGCCCCATGATCAGCTCTTTCGGTCTCCTCGACCTCACACTTCAATAAGAATTCCTCATCCATGGTGTAATTGTTCCACGGTTTTTAGTATATTGTTTGAGGCTCAACATTCTTCTCAATCATTTTCTGTTTATAATGGGGGTGAAGAACACCGATCCATTTCTCTTCTTTCAATCCTATCCCCATTGAGTAAATTGAGGCTCCTCCCTCATCCTTCGTTTTTGCAATTATCCCACCAAAGGGCAGCATATCCCTTTAACTTCAGTAGCAGCAGCTTCTTCTTTTGTCTTCGGACACCTCCCTCAGTTTAAAGGATTCTCCATTGAGTATATCCATTCAAGATAGGTAGGCATCAGCATCGATCTTACCATGAAATTCAGGTAATTCGATTTTATAGTTGAAAGATTCTTCTTGTCTTTCAACACGGATGGGTGGTGGCAAATGCCTACCCCTTTGGCCAAGTCCTCCATGAAACAACCCTCTTCCTCTTCCTCTAAAACCTCCATGTCCCAACACAAGGTGCTGGTCCTCTCCATTGAAATCTTCGTTATTCAGTTCCTCTTCATGAGGATTTCGGGTATTTGGGGGAGTATTTTGGATGAGTGTTTCTAAGGCCTCATTCTTGGCCTTAAGAACTTCCATTTCCAACCTCATTTTCTCAATTGCTGAGCTAGATCTTGATCTTCTGATATGACTGAAGAGATGTTGCCAGTACCAGTTCACAAGCCCTTGTCATAGAGAATAGGGGCTGGAGCAAGAGTAGAGGTCGAGGGCATGTAAAGTCAAGTGGTAGATTGATGGCGTGGTGGAAAGGGCTATGGTTTTGATAGAGAAACACGAGTGCTACAGTAACTTGCTACAGGAACTCAGAAGCATCGAGTGCTACAGTAACTTGCTACAGGAACTCAGAAGCATCCGTGCTACAGTACCTAAAAAGATAGATGATTGTTTTTGGAAACAAGCAAAACCCAATAGTTTTTGGAAACTAATAAAACCCAAATGTGATTAACACTTTCTTGTTATTCCAAATCTATCTTTCAAAGTACACAAAATCCCTTTATACAAGAGATAGCCATAAACTCCCTTTGAATGTGTTGTTCGAAGGGACACAATTCAAAGACACCTAACTAGGTTGAAAAAACAACACATTCAAAGATACACCTAACTAGGTTGAAAACAACTTATTCAAAGGGACACCTAAACTAAGTTTGAAATAAACTATTCAAGGCACAATTCAAAGGGACACCTACTAAGTTTGAAAACAACATAAATGAGTGGAATTCATAGTCAATGATCAACC